TTTAATGGTACAGTATGTCACAAAAATCTGATACTATACGACGACATGACAAAAAATTGCCATAGTATAGTATGTCACAAAAATTACAATACTGTACTGTGAAATGTCACAAAAATTACCATAGTAAAGTATTTTAAAATGTCGTAGTAGAGTATGTCAAAAAAATGCCAAAAATCTGATACTATATTACAACATGTCAAAAAAAATTGCTATGGTAAAGTATCATAAAAATGTCATCGTATAATATGTCACCAAAATTGCAATACTAAACCATGAAATGTCACAAAAATTACAATAGTAGATATGTCAAAAAAATTGCCATGGTAAAGTATCATAAAAATTTCATTGTTATATACTATGGCATTTAAAAAAAAACAAAAAAAAAACATACTATATCATAGTGTAGTATATCACAGAAATTGCAAAAAAAAATAATAATATTATACTATGGCATGTCACAAAATTACCATAGTAACGTATGTTGTAAAAATGTCATAGTGTAGTATGTCAAAACAAAACAAAAATTGCAAAAAATGAAACAGTACTCGATGCAATACAAAAAAAATGCCATGCTGCAACATGTCAAAAAAAATTTCCATGGTATAGTATGTCATAACAATGTCATAGTGTAGTATGTCACAAAAAAACTGCAGAAAATTCAATACTATACTTGGCTTATCACAAAAATTGTAGTCACAGAGTGAAATGTGATTTGTCACAATGTTTGTCACATTAGGTGCTGAAATTAGACTAATACATGTTATGGAAAATACAATTTATTTTAAGATGTATTTTGACTTTGATGCTGCCAAAATGTGGCAAGTGAGTATTTGCTGAAGGTGTATGTGTGTGTGTGTGTGTTTGTGTGAAAATATACCACATGATAGATGCCACACAACATAACAGCCTTTATTTGTGTTATTGCAGGGATATGAGGGAGATGAAGAACCTTCTCAGTAAACTCAGGGAGACAATGCCTTTACCATTGAAGAACCAAGGTAAGACAGAGATACTTTCTTTACTTTCACCCTGTTACACACACTTCCCGACACACAGCCTACAGAGCAGTGACACTTTTCAGATCTTTTATATTGTGAAAAAGTAGAGAAGACTCATTGGGATAAAGAGTGGCTTGAAAAAACGCACAGCTAAAACTAGCAATAATGTCTGACTTGGCAACGGTCTACATGTGTTCTTGTGCCCAGATGACAGCAGTTTGCTGAACCTGACTCCCTACCCACTGGTCCGACAGAGTAAGAGGCGGTTCTTTGGGCTCTGTTGCCTGGTAACCAGCTAAGGGCCCCGCCTTCATGGGTAGGAGGCGGCAACAAAGACACCATTACCCACTGTCCTTCACCACTTGTGTCTCCCACCAATCTATTACTGCCATTTTCAAATAAATTGTCTCTTTCTCTTTTTTTTAAAGGCTGCCCATTTTATAATTTTATTTTGTAATACAAAGAAGAATTGTAACTGCAATGTAATGAAAACAAAAGTCATGAACATATATTTTAAGATATTTTGCAACAAATTTTCCCTTTTTTGGTAAATGAAGTCAGATATCTGCTTGTCCAATGTAAAAGAGAATGAGAGATAAAACAATGTCAATGTTCAATTACTTCCACAAACCTGAGTGAATGAAACGAGGATTCATGTTTTTAAAAAGGGAATATAATTGTCCGTTTTTGTCAGAAATAATGTGATAACTTATGAATTGACGCCGTCCAAATGTTTGAGGGCGGCGTTTGCAACGACAAAGTTACACCTCCGTATGTCTACGCTGAGATGACAGGTTTGTGCAGAGTAAGTTTGTTGTGTATTACAGTCTCTGTTTTCTGTTCCTTGCTGTTTTTTCTTCTTAATGTACTTAATTTAGTCTTCCATAAACCAAGTACCTGTATCCAACTTTAACTTTCCAGCTTCGAAATGGAATATATGATACAATACTCAAAAAGAAAACTTCTTTGCACACAATATCTATCTATAAATTGAGACATTAGACTTGTATATACACATACTCTTTACGCAATGCTCTCTGAATTATTTTCAAAGATGGAGATGTTTCACAGAGAATCTGTTGGCTGGTTATAAGCAGGAGGGGTCTCCCTCTGTCTGAGGCAGACAGAGGCCAGGCAGCATGGGTCTTGCTTATTAATGATAGTGATCAATGTTTAGGGCACGGTGAAGGTACAGTAGTCAAAGCTGATATAGGTCATTTTACATTGTTAATAAAACTTTTGTTATTGAAACTTATCAACTGGTCTCTGTGATTTTCTTGCATGTAATTTGCAAAAATGTCCACTGGGTGGAGACAAACTACCAAAAACATCCAACAGAGGGTGTTTTGGATCTTGTTAAAAAAGCAAACTGAATTTAACAAGGATAATATGTTATAATTTATACTTTGATTATAAACACCCCAGCATTTACTGTATGCTTTTTCCTGGTTTATGGATTGTCTTGTTTGTAAAGTAAACATTTCTATCCGGGAGGGTTAGAGGGGGACGAAGATAGATGGAAACACAGAATGGGAGACAGAAAGAAAAGTCAGATAATCTTTTATTAAGTCCGCAACAAGCAGCTTTTGTTTATGTGCCGAAGCCTGGAGAAATCGAGTGAATGAGAGATGGACAGAGAGAGAAAGATTAAACAGGCAGGATCCAGCTGGTCACCTACTTTTACTGCTGGAATTAAGAATATTTTTATCAGTAAAGGAAAAACTTAAAAGTGTCCTCAGCGTGCAGTGATCAGTGGCTGACATGGTTTCTTTTATAGCTCCTCGGCAAACCCCAAAATGGGCCAAATGTATTATTTATTTCTAATTTAGACATGCAGGTTAGGTGGATTTGAAACTCTAAATTGCCGGCCTGTGTGCACTTTAAGAAACTGGTGACATGCCCATTGCATAATCTAAAGTAAGCTTCACACTCAACAGCAGTATAGAACAGATGGATAAATGGAAACTGTGATAGTTTTATATATTGTAATGTGTTCAGATGTGTTGTTGAGAGAAGTTTGCCTTCAGGGCTTTCTGCCAGAAGGCTCCAGGAAGTCAGGTGACGTAGTATAAAGAGCAACACATGGGTAGGAGGTTGTGATGGATTAATAGGTCAAACATGGGACCCTCATCCAGCAGTCTGAGGTTTGTATCCTGTGAGAAACCATCTTTATTTATATCCTCCTGAGACCCTGTGTCCTCATATGAGGACATAACATTTTGGGTTTACTTGATTTTTATTCTTCATTCTACCCAACTTAGACCTGCTGTCCTCGTTCATGGACACTTTTTGTCCCATCTAGAGGTAGTAATAGCACAATACACTTATCCTTAGAAAAGCAAGATGGCAGCCATCTCTGCCAGGTCAGTCTGCAGCCGATCACATTTTATGGTTGGATAATGTTTGTAGTTTGATATGGCAACAAATGTGACTAATTTAAGCAACAGAAACAAGCCAAGACTTTGTTTATTAGGAAGTACTCGACTGAAGAAATTGGAACTTTATATCGTTGACAGTGGTTAGTTTTTTATACCTATCAGGTCCCACTGATCCCAAATAGCTAGGAGAAATTAAAAATGCATACCAAACAAAAGTTTGGGTCTGAGGAGGATATTCAGTTTTCAGTTGCAGTTTGGTTCAGGTGACGAATCTATTTGGTAAGGTTTAGACCATGGTTGCGGAGTAAGCCTTTATACAACATTAACCAGGTGTTGTTAGAAAGGCTTTCTGGAACGAGAGGCTTTAGGCTAACTTTTCCCATGTGCTTAACATTTTCTTGTGGAATCCACATCTAAAAAATGTCTAATAAACTACAGAATTAATAGTTCCTTTATGGACTTACACTTCCTTCATTCATTTCATTTTCTGTAACCTCTTATCCTGGGGGGTCGTGGTGGAGCTGGAGCCTATCCCAGCTGACGTAGGGCATGAGGCAGGTTACACCCAGACTGTCACAACCATTCACGCTCTCATTCATATCTACGGGCAGTTTAGAGTCACCAATTAAGCTGCAAATCTCTGGACTGTGGGAGGAAGCCAGAGTACCCAGAGAAACCAACAGTGACACAAGGAGAACATGCAAACTCCACACAAAGAGGCTCCCCAACCCTGGGGTTCAAACCGGGAACCCTCTTGCTGTGAGATGACAATGCTCCCCACTTATTTCTTAAGCCAAATAAAGTATTTAAAAAAGATGTTTACTCTTTACATGTTTTTACAGAATAGCAAAACACAAGAGTTGAGAAAAATACCAGTAGCACCTTACAATATAATGTAAGCACAGTTTCTTCTACAGATCCAGCCTCCATGTCCCACTAACAGACATTTTTTGCCCACCTTACTGATGTTGTATCTGTATTTAGTCACCCATCAGTATTTTTAGTTTGAGTTCCTTAGACTTAATAAGGTTTAGAGAGCCACAGGGGATGATAGCCTGCTTCTTTCTCTCACCCAAAAACTTCTCTGTGTTAGTTTTTGTGTATCACTCCTGTAAGAGAGCCTTCCAAGCACCTCCCTTTTACCCACCAGCCTCTGTGTACATCAACTAAGTGATGCACATCTGCCAACAATAAACATTTTTGGAGTGATGAGGGCACGTCAAGTAGCCGGTGTCTTCACACAGTTTCACAGGCAGGTTCGGACTCACATGCTCTCACACAGTGAGAGGGCAGCAAGCCAGAGGCAGGAATAGATTTCCAGCAGGGGTTTGCTTGGCACTGCTGAGCGCTGTCTGGTTTAGTAAGCACAGGACATCTTTTGAAATAGACCATCTCAGGCCAGAACACAGATTTTCAAACGTTATCTCGAGGGATGTTTACAGAACTATTTTCTTCAGAGCCGAGACCTACTTTGTGCAGTGTATTGTGTGTGCAGCTCAAGCAGCGTTAAACAGAACCAACAACATCTCTCTGTAAATATTGCATCTACACATAACTGTGTGTTCGTCATATCTCTGTCTCTCATTATGAAGAAGTACAATAATAAAAAGAAATTCAACATGGCTGGTGTTCTGCTATTTATTCCTGGTGTAATACAGTTTCATATTATAGTTTTACACATGCATAACTTTTACAATATGTTGAAGTAGCGTCATAAAAGATTAATATGTAAAAGGAAGCTGAAGATAAAAAGGTCACAAGGTCAAGCCCTCCTCTTGCATCCTCAGGCAGCAGCACATGGCAGGATGCTGAGAACTGACACCTCTTCTCCCTTACATCGCTGTAGTCCTGCTTCACACTCGCTCATGGTCTGAGACGCTGCAGTTGCATTCTGCCCAACTTGGACACACACATCTGCACCTTGGTTCGAGCAATCTGCGGTGTCCCTACAGCGACACTCGTTGCTTTGATCTGAAAGAATAACAAGGAGGAAGAGAAGAAGAATGAGATAAGATATATGACTACAAACTGCCAATATGGTATGTTATAATGGCGTGTTTGTAATTTTGAGATGTCCCTACCATCACAGGTCTCCCACATGTGACAATTGGTGCAGCCTGCTGTGTTGCGCTCCGGCCACTTGCAGGTGCTGTCGTCAGCTATTGTGTAGCTCTTCCCCATACACTGCAGTGCGTGCATTTTGCACACATTCAGAAGGATGGATTTTATACCCCTAGCAGCAGTGGCACACACCTCCAAAGATGCCCTGGTGACAAATATCATCAAAAACAAGAAAATGAATCACATCAGTCCAGTTTGCAAAAAGCCACACATATCCAGAGTGATGATTAGTTGAGGAAACATACCCGCACTCGAAGGGCATTTTGCAAACACATTGTCCTCTAGAAGACTTCTCCCAGGGTTTACACTGCACCAAGGGAAGGCTGCGTTGTTGTGGCACTACAGCTGAAGGATACATGGAAACCATTCTTTCACATTAGTAACTGACTAATATCCAAGCATGCAATGATAAAAATGGAGTAATGTAAAAATGTAAATAAATGTTTAGATTTTCTCAAAGTGTGACTGCATTATGTCTATAATCAACCATGGTCCGTTTCAATACTTTCACTTTCAGTAGTCTGGTATAAAACTCAACAGTTTTTTTTGGCGATGAGATAGAAAAGACATTTTGTTGTGTAGTGTAGTGTAGTGTAGTGTAGTGTAGTGTAGTATATATAATAAAATCGTTAATAAATGTCAGCACATAGTATGTTTTTAAATATGTCATTATGATATATGTAACAAAAATTGCCTTGGCATACTTGTCATAACAGATGTCACAAATTTCTTTATTTAATTATATGCAAATCATTAAAAAAAATTATTGTCAGATTATAGTATGTGACAAAAATTGTCATGGTATAGTACAGTCATAAAAATATCATAGTATGGTATGTCACAAAAATTGCAAAAAGTAATGCTATAGTATGACATGTCAGAGAAATTGCCACACTATATGTCATAAAAATGTCATAACCTAGTATGGCGTAAGTAACTATACTATGACATTATGAAATTTGAATGACACACTATACTATGATATTTTCTTGAAAATAATATACTAAGACAATTTTTGTGACATACTATACTATGACGTTTTTTCATGATTTTGTAACGACATGTTATGCTATGTTGTTCTTTCATGATTTGCAATGACATTCTATACTATGACGTCCCGGTTTTCAAAGACATGCTATACCAAAACATTTTTTTCATAATTTCTCAGAGCATGCGATATTATGATGTTTTTCATGATTTTTAACGACATACAATATTTGGATGTTTTTTTAAATGATTTTTGACGACATACTTTACTATAACGTTTTTTCTTGGATTTCAAAGACATGATATAGCATAACGTTTTTTTAATGAAAACTGAGAACGGACGTCTGTCCGTCCTGGAAGAGGGATCCCTCCTCAGTTGCTCTTCCTGAGGTTTCTACCGTTTTTTTTCCCCGTTAAAGGGTTTTTTTTGTGGGGAGTTTTTCCTTAACCGCTGCGAGGGTCATAAGGACAGAGGGATGTCGTATGCTGTAAAGCCCTGTGAGGCAAATTGTGATTTGTGATATTGGGCTTTATAGATAAAATTGAATTGAATTGAATTGAATGCTATACTATGACATGTTTCTTCATGATTTTTGACAACATATGTCATTTTTTAATGATTTCAATCAATCAATCAATCAATCAATCAATTTTATCTATAAAGCCAAATATCACAAATCACAATTTGCCTCACAGGGCTTTACAGCATACGACATCCCTCTGTCCTTAGGACCCTCACAGCGGATAAGGAAAAACTCCCCAAAGAAAAACCTTTTTAATTTTGTGAGGATATACTATGACATTTTTTCATGATTTCTGACGACATACTATACTATGACGATTTTTTCATGATTTTGTGAACACATACTATACTATGACATTTTTTCATGATTTCTGACAACATAGTAAAATATGACATTTTTTCATGATTTTTGACGACATACTATACTATGGCATTTTTTCCTGATTTTGTGGACACATACTATACTATGACATTTTTTCATGATTTTTGACGACATACTATACTATGACATTTTTTCCTGATTTTGTGGACACATACTATACTATGACATTTTTTCATGATGTTTGACGACATAGTAAAATATGACATTTTTTTCACGATTTTTGACGACACTATTTTATGACTTTTTAAAAGATATTTTTGGGGGCATTTTTGACTTTAATTGACAGGACAGCTAAGCATGAATGTGGGAGACTCCATAACCTGGAGTTGAACCTGGACCTCTGCAGCAACAGCCTTAAACATGAGACCTGCTCTATCCTCTAAGCCACCAACACCACTTTAATTTTGAGATTTCGTGACAACATACTTCACTGTGACTTTTTCTCATGATTTCTGACAACATACTATACTATGACATTTTTTCATGATTTCTGATGACATGCTATACTATGACATTTTTTCAAGATTTCCGACGACTTGCAATGCTATGGCATTTTTTCATGATTTTAGACATCATAGTATACTATGACATTTTTTCATGATTTCTGACGACATGCTATATTATGACATTTTTTCATGATTTTTCATGGCATACTATACTATGACATTTTTTCATGATTTTTCATGACATACTATACTATGACATTTTTTCATGATTTCTGACAACATACTATATTATGACATTTTTTCATGATTTCTGACAACTTACAATGCTATGACTTTTTTTCATGGTTTTGTGAACACATGCTATACTATGACATTTTTTCATGATTTTTGATGAAATAGTATAATATCACATTTTTTCACGATTTTTGAAGGCACACTATTCTCTGACTTTTTAAAAGATATTTTTGGGGGCATTTTCAACTTTAATTGGCAGGACAGCTAACCATGAATGTGGGAGACAGAGAATAACACTCAGCCAAGGGCCATAACCTGGAGTCGAACCTGGACCTCTGCAGCAATAGCCTTGAACATGAGACCTGCTCTATCCTCTAAGCCACCAACAACATTTTAATTTCATGATTTCGTGACAACATACTTCACTGTGACTTTTTCTCATGATTTCTGATGACATACTATACTATGACATTTCTTCATGATCTCTGACTACATACTATATACTATGACATTTTTTCATGATTTCTGACGACATACTATACTATGACTTCTTTTCATGATTTTTGACAACATACTATAGCATGACATTATGTCATGATTTTCAGATGACATACTATACTATGACGCTTTTCATTAAAACTTTGAGACTGGTATAGTTAATGGAACAGCAAAGAATAAATGAAAAGTAGAGTACAATATACTGCAGTCACATCTTGTTACACAGCAATTCCATGACATCCATTAGACCATACATATGAAGCTTGAAATAAAGTATACCTGGGCTGCATTTGATGCTCGCTGGGTCCGGTGAAAACTGCAGATTTGGGGTACATATAATTGTTGCTTCTCCTAATACCTGTCTACCTTCTGGGCAGGACAAGGTGACTGTTTCGCCTATGCCATAGACTGGCTGAAAAGGAGTGGCTATGACGCCATCAGCGAGGGAATCAAGGTGGCACTTTGAGACTGGGAGAAAAGTCAGACTTTAAAAAATATATAACACTGTAATTCACTATGATCATAGATGTTAAACTTTGTCTATAGATACTCACCTGTGCACAACCCAGGGCCAGATGACCAGGTTTGATTCGCAGTGCATTCTAGGGTGCTTTCACCAATAAGATACAAACCGATAGTGCAGGTATACTCAACCTTACTGCCCACAAGGTAAACGTCCTTAGGGACCTGTGGGGCATGTGGCGACAAAAATGTATTTAAGTTATATTTCTCAGTTCTGATATTTATACAGAAACCTCTTAAAGGGGCGTGGAAATTAGGGACTGAAATATGAATAACAAATGTGACCCACAGGTTCATTTTACTCACAGATAACACATTAAATATCTAATTTAATTTGCCCTATTATGCAAAGCACCCCTTAAACCTTTTAATGCAAGTATTCATTATCTATGGACCAAATTTATTCCATGCTGGGTCTCCGATGTGCTGTTGAGGCTACACTGTTGTGTTTACCAAATGACATCATTTCCCCATATTAAAATCTGGGTGTGTATTCTTTGGTAAATTAGGCTGATTGATGAAGACAAAGTCAATTATATGAGGAGTAACCCTGAACTGTGGCCTTCTGGAAATAAATATATTAAATGTTTGCAGTAATTTGTTCCACAGGGTACGGTTAATTCAAGCTTGGCTTCATCTTTACCAGGATGTAGCCATTGATTAGAGTAGGTGGGGGTCCACACGTCTGACTGGCCGGGAGAGTTTGGTTAAAACACTGAGGCTCCATTGTTCTGTAGAAAAAAAAAAAGTTAAAAATAGGATGCTGTATAACTGCAAATTGATGAAAATCAGTGTGAAACTTCCTCTTAAGGGAAATTTGATGCAATAACTCCTGGTGCTTCTTACAAAAACGTTATGACATTCACACTGCAAAATAAAACTTCAACTCGCTCTGACTTTAAGTATTCCAGGTCTTCGTCTCCACAGTCAGACGTCTCAGTGGGTTCTCCACTACAGTGTTGTCCCCCGTTCTGAGGAGTGGGATTAGAGCAGGAACGACTTCTTGACTTTTTACCCCCAGAGCACGATGACCAGTCAGACCAGCAGGCCCAGCTACCGTGGATCACTCCTTAATGGGCAGAAACAAAAAGATACTGTAGTTAGGACAACATTGCAGTACTGGTAAAAGCAAAATATAACCACCATTAGAGCATAATCCCTGATGTTAGCTTCATGTAGCAGTGTAGGCTCTGTATTGTAAACACTTGCAGTAGCGTGCTCGGAGCAGATGACCATATAAAGAAATCCATCATGATCTGATGTCATCTTGTGGCCAAAATTGAGCATAGCGGTAGTTCAAGCAGGACATGATGTCAGACTCAGCTCACATCCCAGCTACATCAGCTGATCTCAAACAGCCCAATCAACTGATGGAGCAGCTGATTGATGAAGGGAGTCGGCTGATAGATCACATGATTCCTTTCTATGCAACCAATTGGTGAATCTCATTCAGGGTGCCCTATTTAAACAGTTTTGGCCTGCCTACTGTTGCTGCTTCCTCTGCAAGCTGCTTTGCAACCCGCCTCCACCCCAGCTCCTCCTTTTCATGCTGTGTCTGACTTATCAGTGTCATTTCTGTTTGTCATTGATGCTGCCCTGTTCTGTTCCCAGGGGCTCTTTGCTGCTGCTTTCCCTGCCTTAGGCTTTCCATTTAGGCGCATGGAAGGGCAGGGATGCTTTCTCTCTCTGCATTAAGGCTTTCCATACAGGCGCATGGAAGGGCAGGGAGGTTTGCTCTCTCTGCCTTAAGGCTTTCCATACAGGCACGTGGAAGGGCAGGGAGGTTTGCTCTCTTTGCCTTAGGCTTTCCACATAGTCCCGTGGAAGAGGCTTTCTGCATAGGCCCAAAGAAAGGCAGAGAGGCCTACCGTTATACCGCTAAATAAAATACTGCAAATGGAAATAAAATTTTCTTTGACTAAAGTGTTCCTGACTGAAATAGGGATATAATGTTAGAAACAGCATATTCAGAATTGTCTGAAGCCTAAGGTTTTTGCTCACAGGGATTACTTATTCATTTTATTGTCTGAAACTTTGGCCACATTTAATATGAACATCTGACATTGTAACGTTATACATATGACATAAAATGAGGAAGAGCGTAGTTCATTTTAAGGAATACTTTGACATTTTATCATTGCTTTTATGAATTAAATGATAAGATCGATATCACTATGTGACTATTCAGCAGTAATTAACTCAGTTTAACTTAAAGACTGAAAACAGTGGAAAGCAGCTAGTCTGGGTCTGTCCAAAGGTAACAAAATCCAAAACCTTGTTTGTTTAATCTGTACAAAAACTGAAGTGTAAATGTGGGGTTTGGTGGTAGTACGAGGAGTAACATATCTTCAGTTGTAAAAAGCCTGTCTGAAATGCAACACTCACCTTGCTGACCCTCAGCATCAGTACCATTCTCACAGGCCAGTCCGGAAGTGCCAGGCTTACAGATGCATTGGCATTCATCTCCATTCCTGACAACCAAGCCATTGTTGCTGCAGGGCCGGCAGTGGCAGGTGTCACTCTCAGCCAGGTATTGCTCTATTGCCCTGCGAAGGTAGATCTTCTTCACCCCGGCACACTGAACCTCCTTTACCAGCTCTGACAGTGGCCGCAGCTGCCATAACAAGAGAGATGAAGGGTATTATTATTTGATAAGATGACACACTAAAATGCATATAAAATAAATCCAACATCACTTTCAAAGTGCTTGTTTTACTTTCCCTTACTGTTTGTTTTGTGACCTGTGGAAATGATCTGACAGAATCTGCCCAGTTTGAGAATCTTTCCCAGTTCTTGTCCGGATCAGAGGGCTGTATGCCTTTCAGGGCTGCAACTTGTGAAATGCCTCCTCCCTGCACATCCACTCTTTGAATATTATTCCTCCTGGTATTACCTGTTTTCAAAAAGTTTGCAGAGATGAAGGAATGATTCAGAAATGTCAAGTGCTTTTGTAGGCTGTATGTTTATAGTAGTAACATCAAAATGTTACCACTGGATGTTGAGTATCCTCCTTGACTGCTGGTGCACTCGACACGGTCAGAGATGCGGAAAAAAAGAATCCAGCGCTGAGTCCTTACACATTCTCGAGACTGATGGCTTTCGCTTTCTGGAAATCAACCAGAAGTTAAAGAATAAAGAAAAAGGAAAGTCAGTGTTAGAAATGAATGGCAGGATTGATTTGATTTTTTTGATTATTTTTTATTAACCTGATGTTTAAAAATGCATTTACAAAAATGCTGATCATATTACACTGACTTACAATAGTAATAAGTGTTAAGTAAGTAATAAGTAATAATAAGTTTTTTTCTTTTCCTGTCTTTATGACTGAAGAACAGGTGAAAAAAATCTTTTGCCAAGAAGTTCTTTATTTGTTTTTTGCTTTTTTCATCTTTAAAAAATATGGGAAAAAAGTTTTAGCAGGTGATTTATTTATTAATTTATTTATCTATTTTGGCAGGCTTGTTTTGCAAAGTCATGACGTCATAGACATTTCAACCACAAGAGGCTGAAATGCACCACTGCCATATGTTTTAAATAGGACTAAAAGTTTTCTTCCAGTTAAGTTTTAATTTCTCCATGCACTCTAATCACAAGTTGCACATATTGTATGTTAGATTACTGTCACATCTAATGACTAAAGTGTAGCCAACACGACCAGCAGATTAGCACAAATAAAAATACATTTCTAGGCAAAAAAGAGACATCCTCACAAAAAAAAAAAAAATCTCCTGCCAATTTTTTTTTTTTGTCTTGGTGTTTTTACAAATGAAAAAAAATAAATTCAAGGAATTTGTAAAGAGTATAGTATATCACAAAATCTGCCATGATACAATATGTCATAAAAATGTCATAGTATAGTATGTCACAAAAATGCAGAAAATCTAACACTAAATTATGACATGTCCCAAAAATTGCCATAGCATGTTATAAAAATGTCATCATCTGTCAAAAAAATTGCCATAGTATTATCTGTCAAAAAAAGTCATAGTATAGTATATCACAGAATTGCCATAGTATAGTATGTCACAAAAATGCAGAAAATCGAACACTAAATTATGACATGTCACAAAAATTGCCATAGTATATGTTATAAAAATGTCATAGTATAGTATGTCCCAAAAATTGCCATAGTATCATCTGTCAAAAAAGTCATGGTATATCACAAATCCCATACTACAGTATATTATGACACGTCACAAAAATTGCCATAGTATATCATTTAAAAAAAGTCATACTGTAGTATGTCACAATTGTTGCCATAGTATGATAATTCAGAAAAATGTCATAGTATACTGTGTCACAAAAATTGCCATGATACAATTTGTCATAAATTTGCCATAGTATAGTATTTCACGAAAATTGCTGGGAATCTAACCAATACTGTGACATGCCATAGTATATACTATGAAAATGTCATAGTGTAGTATGTCACAAAAATGACCTTAGTATAGTTTGTCAAAAAAAAAAAAAAAGTCACAGTATATCACAAAATTTGCCATGATACAAAATGTCATTAAAAAAAAGTCACAGTAAAGTATATTGTTAAAATCTCCTAGGATAGTATGTCCTGAAATTTGCCATATTATTATGTCATAAAAATGTTAAAGATTAAAAGATGCAAAACCAGCATCTCAGGGCTTCTGTAGTTATTTGCTTTTATGAAATGTATTGCAGGGACAAAAGTGAATTTTGGCATTAAACATTTTCAGTTACATTCTGATTAGCCATGAGGTCAGCTGTGAGCAACATTAGCTGGTTCTGTTTTTGTAGTGTCAAGCTCATATATATCACCTCTACAAATGACCAGTGTTGTGCTAGTTACCTGAAAATAGTAACTAGTTACGGTTACTAGTTACTTCATTAAAAAGTAACTCAGTTAGTAACTCAGTTACTTAAACCTAAAAGTAATGCGTTACTGAGAAAAGTAACTTTTTAGTTCCCCCCCAAAAAAACTTGACTTAGGACTTGGCTCGCCATCACACCATGACCTTGACGCATGCGCACTAATGTCATCTATACTCTGAGTACGTCCTGGCTGTAGATGACTGAGTGGGGACACTAGAGGGCGCTAGGTGCTTATCTTTTTTGCAGTGTAGTTTTTCTAAGCCACAAAGAAGACAACATTGCTAAGAAGAATCACATTTTGGGAAACTCAGCCCTGCACCCCAAAACATTTCCTAACTGTATTGGCCCGTAGCTACATCGCCTAAGCAACAGTGGATGACGTTTAACCAGGGGACTGTTAGACTACAACTTGACAAAACAATTAAACGGTATAGGAAACATGCAACCGTCTTCTACAGTGGAGTCAGGTGGATATCACGTCACTACATATAACGTTACTGGGACTAAAAATCTACAGAAGCGCTACCGCTTAATGTAACGTTACACTGTGGTGAGGCCAGCAGGTCGACAGTGACTTAAGAGATGATGAGAGACATGTTTCATTAAGATGCTCTGGTAAGAATTGTTCATATACCTCTATCTGACTTGACTATCTTTTATTGTTTAGGGCTAAAATGTTTTAGTAAAAGGGAACTTCAGTTTGTGAAGGAATACTGCATTCTGCACGCCGTTTTAAAACCTGGCCAAAAATAACGGCGTAACGCACCGTTTGGTACGCGTTAGAATATTAGTTACTGCCAAAACTAATGGCGTTTCTGTAACTCGTTACTAATAACACGTTACTGCCCAACACTGCAAATGAAAAAGACACAACCAAGGTATTTCGTTCCCTACATGCTCCCTCATGAATATTAAAGTTGAAGAGCTGAATCCATCGACTGCCCAGAGATTCACTATTCTTTGACTTAGGCCTACCACCAAGTTGTGGATGATTTATAAATCCTTACCAAACCAGCGTTCAGTTTCTTCATCAATCTTGGCGATGAGCTTGAAGGAGCCTCCGAGGCTTCCCTCAGACAGGTAGTGTGTTCCAAAAGTCTCTAAAACCTTCCTGTACGCATCATAGTCGTAGACCGATGGGAGTTTAACCAGTGCCTTCCAAAACTCCTCAGATATTGGGAGGTACTGATGAGAGTTGCTCTGGAACTGAGCTACCTCTATTTCACTCTGTAAAACCACAAGCTTTTGGGCCTGGAAGAAATGAAAAAAAAAAAAAAAAAACTGAGTAACTTTATAGTTTGATTTTCATTTTTTAATCTCATGCAATGTCTCTGGGATTTGCTGTCAAAGTTATAGTGATAACATTTCAGGTTCCAACACACCTGACTCTTGTCATATGTCTGAAGAAAGTTATAGTTCCTATATCCTGACGTCGTCCCGCTCAGTGTTTCTCTGGTGACAGTTTCCTTTGCAAAGTGCCATTTACTTTGGTACATCTCATCACTGAAGTCATTCTCAACTTTAACCTGGGAACAGCACAGGTTTAATAGTGTTCATTTAACAACTGAAATCAATAAATGTCGTAGAAAATCCAACAAGTGTGCATAAAAATGCACCAAAATGAGATGAAATGAGTCTTTAAAGGTACCCTGTGGAGTTTTTGACCACTAGTGGTGCTATAGAGTAATATTTTGACCACGAGTTTTCCAGCATTTGTAAAAGGATGCTAATGCTAATACAAGTAAATGCACATAAAACACATTAACACCAGAATGTGATTACATTACAGACAATATCTGGAGGCGGTCTGGCTCACATTGCAATGTGAGTAAATTACTCTTAATGCAAAATGTTAAGTGTGACAATATACTTAAGAAAAACATCTGCCCAGCAAGTTTAAAAGGTCACCTGCAAAAAGTGATTTACAAATGAATGACGCCCATTGATGGCGTTGCTGTACCTTGACCTGGAATTCATTATTTTTGTGGACAAGTCCACCAAACTAATTTCATTATCGAGAGCCAAGGATAAATGGTAATTTAAACACTTACCAATACCAGGTGTAGATGCAAAAATGTGGTCAGATGCCATTAGTTAGATAATATATCCAGAAACAGATCACATGTTAGTACTGGGTGTACATGGAGCCATTGCCAGTAGTTGGGTCAACTAACCTAGTGACTTCAACAACAGCAAAAGTCGAATCTCTTGGCCTTGATAGCAATATTTCAACCATAGCCACAGTTTCCCCTTAAAGGCGCTGTATGTAAGAATGTGGCCAAAACGGTTACTGCACTCAAATTCAAAATACTGCTGCGAGTCGTGTCCGCCCCCCCTCCCCTACAGATTTGAGATTGCTGGACAGCGGCACGCTGGAGACTGATTTGTTTGCCCACGGGCGTCTGCCGTGGCAGGGCCGCGTCGCCGCGTCCTTGATCTTCGGTTTTCCAGCGGACCGTTCGAGCAAGTCTAGCTTCTCTGCTGCTAACGCTGCTGCCGGGATACAGCTGAGGAGACTGCTAATGCTATGTACCGGGAAACTGCTAATGCTGCTTGCCGTGCTGCTGTAGCTCAGTCGTAACTGTAACTGATGCTGAGACTCTACTGACTGTGTGACTGGTAGACGGCGGTGGGTGGCGCAACAGGCCAAAACACAAATTCAAAACATAAACATGATTTGCGGACCGTAAAAATTTTTTTTAAATGCGAATATTCTGGCTGTACTATTGTTGTCGGTGAGATCAGTATGTTATATGAACATTATTCCTTAGTCTCTGTGACATATTAGGATGATTTTACGACTATTTGCTTTAGATTTCTTACATATAGCTTCTTTATCTTTAAGTAGTTTTAGTTAAAAAAAATAACCAGATAAGAAAATGCAATTATAAAAGAGCAAAAGAAGAATGTGCAAGTTGAAGGAGCCAATGTGGGATTCAATAGATTAAAAAAAATGTTTTGCAAATGTTTTATGAAGTAGAAACACGTTACTAAGCCTTTAAGCTGGGGTAGGCAGTTTTACTTTGGCGTCACTGGGTAAAAATCCCATGAAAACCTTTCAGCATTTTGTAATTCAAGTGGACTGAGACAAACTAGGCTCATGCTTTAGAAAAAAATCTAGCCCATGATGAGAGATTTCTGCCTACTACGGGTCATTTTAGAGATAGTGGCTATTCTACCAATGCAGATGCACTTCCTAAAAATCATGCAAAAAAAGTTGCTAATCCAGTACTGACAACAGCTGCCTACACTGCAAAAAATACTTAACAAAAAAAGACAGTCTATAAGAGAGTCTGATACTGACATACATGTCAATATTGGTGAGGCTTTCCAAGGATGGAGAGCAAATGTTGCTATTAGTTTAGCCTTCTGCTAACAAGAGCCAAAAGCACACTGCTGGGGCCAATTCAAGTTCATGTTTATGTAGCTAACGTTAGCTAGAGCCTTGAATCAGCAAACTTTCTGTTGCTGCTGTAACATAGTTTAAACCGTTGCTGGCTACCAGCTGCTGTGACGTCTGGTCACAGGTTTGCACTGGCTGAATTTGAGTACCTACAGCAGCTGACTGAAGGTCCATCTGCAGAATGTCATGTCAACAAAGTGCTGAGTTACTGAGAAATCAAAACTCCACAGGGTACCTTTACAGCAATAACTGACCACGAGAAGTTTGAGTATTAATTGTGGTTGTACTGTTTCCAGGGTGACCAACCATAAAGCTGTACTGAATAGTACTAAGAGGCAGTCTGTAGATAGTATTGTGGACACCGCTGAAGATGGTGCGACACTGGCCCCCAAAGCTTTTTGTGTTGATGACACTGGCCCTCCGCTTCCCTGTCACCACATCAAACCTAAGGAGGCAAAAAAAAGTACCCCACCTGTAAGCATATAGTACCTGCTTGCGTGTGGCTGGACGGATGCATAAACAATTCATCACTTACCCAAGCCCTAAAAGTTCAATGTTTGGTGGGAGAACTGAATTTACACACACTATGTATTTTCCCACGTCACAGACATGCTCATCGTGTCCATCTTCCTCACAGTCCTGATCCCCATTACACACCAGAGACCGGATGATACACTTCCCTGTGGGTCAGAAGACAGACAGACAGCTCAGTGATTGTTAGTGTGGAGTCTTGAAGTCTGCATGATTCAGGGTGTGAGCCGAGTTATATTTCCAACCAGATCGACAGCGGAATCGGTCTCCACATCCATCCTCTAGAGGGCAGCCTTTTGTGGTTTCACAGGACCTGGTCTCGGTCCGCTTCCCATCACAGGGGTTCCCTCCAAACTGAGCATAGACAGCCATGGGTCGGCTTCTTGTCTGTAACATACCGCAATGTGACAAAGAAATATGGACAAAGAAAATTGTCCAAATTATTTATGCGTAATTTTAGAAAGTGTGACATGTTATCTTCTTTAAGTTGTGCTGATGACAACCTTAACAGAGAAGTGCACCACTCAATTCTGTAATTAAAGGTCCAGTGTGTAGGATTTAGTGGACTCTACTGGTAAAAATGGCATATCATATTTATAACAATGTTTTCATTAGTTCACCTAAAAATTAGAATAGTTGTGCTTTTGTACCCTTAAAATGAGCCGTTGACATCTACATATGCAGTGGGTCCTCTTCCAATGAGTCTGCCATGTTGTTTCTACAGTAGCCCAGAACGGACAAATCAAACACTGGCTCTCAGTAGGGCCATTCATGTTTTCATGTTGGCCACCGTAGCTCTCCTACATTCTTGGCACGCAGCAGAAGTTCCAGCCCTGCAACTTGCAGCTAGATGCCACTAAATCCTACACGCTATACCTTTGATAGTCCTAACCTGTAATTTGGTGCAGCCATCACACTCTGACCAGTCACCATAAGGCCCCCACTGGCAATGCACTCTCTGGATACAAAACCTTGGGAATGACATTTAAATCAAACGATTCAAAGCAAGCATTGCATATTTACATCAATTATGATGTTTTAAAAGTTTTTCAGACATCTGTTGGTGAAACAGTAAAGCAACAACAGATTTACCCTTTGGGAGTGAGCAGGAATAGCAGCCATGGCAAGGCTGCTAAAAGGAGTTGTACAATGCTCTGAAGAAGAGGAGAGGAGAAGGGGGAGAAAAGAAAGGGGAAGACACAATGTAAATGTAAAAGTACTCTAAGTTGTACTGCATCTCAAATACTTTGCAGAAATCCGAAACATGCATTTGTAATTTCCTACTTGCCTTCATGGTGAGAGAGGAGCAGCAAACAGAGGAGTCTTGAAGAGGCTTTGACGCTGGTTCTTTTTGGGGAGTCAGCTCTGTCTTGGAAGGACACTCCAACCCACACTGGGTTTGTGTGTGGGTGGGTGGATGGGTGGGTGGGTTTGTGTGTGTGGGGGTTGGTATGTGTTTGTGGGGGTGTGCACATGGATTAATAGCATGTGAATGTCTTTGCTTTGGACAAGAGCTAGAATATATTTTTGTGGTGACACCTGCCAGCTCATAGTGAAAGTGAAAGCTCCTCTCGGAGTGAGAATCTCTCCGCCTGCTGCAGGCTACTTCTTCTCCTGTCACATTTATCATAGAGCCGACAGTCCTTTCTCACAGCAGACACTCTCACCTGTCATAGCAGGGAAAGCACAGATGTAAACAATCAAATTAATGATGCATTTAGCTGCTTCGGTTTCAGGGTCCTGTGATCGCTGCGTGCTGGCTCTCTGTCACACTGTCTTAGAACAAACCTTGTTTTGTCCAAATGATTTTTGACATTTCTTACATGTTCAGAGAGAGATTTATGCATGCACAAAAGCTTTGACAGAGACACAAAATGAAAGCAGACATGCATAACTAGGAGTGCTGAGATGTGATATAGTCTGGCAAACACTGGAGGGCAATAGAGATTTGAGAACAGTTTTCTCTTCGTATCTGAAATGTGATTCAAGGTTGAGCAAATTTGGGAGTATAGTGAACAGATAAAGTAGATTTAGAGGAGAACTGCATGCAGGACAGGATCACTTAGAATTGGATTTAGTTTAGATTAATTAAAATATCAATCCTGATGATTTCTGGACATGTTGACAGAGAGACTGGATGATGACAATCAGCTGTTTATCTGCAGAGGAGACATCTCCAACAGCCTAACTTGAGATTCTCAGCTATTTAATGACGAAACGTTCCCATATTTGTACATGGATTCCACATCTCTGTCTAATTATGGGCATATATCTGCTGTCACAGCCAGACAGGAGGCCATACTGTGCATATCCATCACACACTGGCAGCTCAAGAGGGAATACCACTGAGTTTGAGCGTTCAGATTAATTTTTTTTTTCCACAGCGGTAAGGCAAGCTAGGTTGTGTTAGTGAGCATCGAGTCCTGCCGCCTATCATTTTTATAAATAAGCAGGAGACAATTTTATCTTGCCCCCAAATTCAGGATGTCAAATTAATGTACAGCTCAATTTAGAATGAGTTGCAAAAGACAGAGAAGGGTTACTTTTTTTACTACAGTGGCAAAGACGTTTTGGAAACGAGAATACAGTCTCTGGTTGTAAGCAAACAGCAGAGGCATAAAATAGAGTAAAATACAAAGCAAACAAACACTTTGTGCCTGCAGTTCCAGCCCTACATTCACAGAGAAAAGAAGCTCCCTCAAGGTAAGCATCTTATTCGAGAGCAGTTTTCCAGGTACAGCAATTTTAAAGCAATGCAGAAATTGCATGGCATTTTCTACTTGACTGTCGTTGATGAAAAGCAAGTGGAAAAGTGAGCCATCTGTCTAAAAATATACAGCAGTATAATTTGTCATATGCAAGAAGGTGTCTAAATATTGTGTTATTAATAGAATATCTGTCGTTGAAAACATCATAAAAACTGGGAGAACATTTTTATTTGAGCGCAGTGTCACCTCAGGTCGTCATTCAAACTCTAGACAAAACATAACACGGATACTTGGTGCATATATTCGACTGCGATAATGACTACAAAAGTGATTTCCTATATTTCTACAATGACCACTCGATGCTAAATGACTCGGCTACTGTACAGCAGTGAGCCAAGTCCCAGAACCTCAGGCTAGAATAACAGTTGGCTCAGACAATGGGCCACCAGACCGTGCCCTCCATTAGTGCCGCTTCTGTGGATCACATGATGTTCAGAGGGCGTCTTTGACCGCCATCTGCCCTGGAAGTTTGGTCTGCCAGAGAACGACAGGCTGTGAGGCTCCGACAGAGAGAGACTTAGTCAATGAATACGGAGCTTATGTGCTTCTGCTCCTCGAGAATAAACCGTGCACCATATTTCAACTTTTTTTCTTTTTTTTTTTCATTAAAGTGATATTTGTGTCCTGATGGCGCATACTGTATGTACTTGTAACATCTCTGGTGTGATTTGCCAGGTGACCTTTGTTGCATTTCATCCCCATGCTTTCTGACTGTTTCTAGTATCTGTCAATCAAGATGACATTTTCCATAAGAAAAAAACATTTAGAAGCTTGTGAATTTCTTCTTGTCATTAACAAAACTGTGAGTCCAACATTATGCATTTAAAATCACTTAATGCATGTACACTAGTTGGTTGAGATCCCAAAATAATCAACACAGTGGTGGCATAATTCATTTTGTATGGTCTCTCTTATAAGTTTCAGTTTGAATGTTTGCATAACTTTTTGCTTCTGATTGGTTTAATGTGTGTTGGTAAGGAGTTTCACTGACTGGAAGTTGTATGAGTTTTTAAGCTGATTTGATTTTGACTAAGAAAGTACAAGACAACCAATGGCATTAGGCCTGCCTGGAAAAAACTATTTTTGTTTGATAGTATTATGTGTGACATTTCTCAAATCTTTGTGGGTTATTTCCTGAAATACTGAGTAAGTCTACTTCCTCAGGCATCTAAAACGTAGTCAAATGCAGCAATTTCAGAGTGACAAATCACACTGTGAAACCTACAGGATTAAAGGTTCCCTTACAGGTTGAAAAAAAAAGTTCTACTTTAAGTATTTGGCAATATAACACTCTAAGAACCCAATGAACTGCCTATAAAGTATTGTCATAAAGCTGTAGTGGTCTAGTGTGTAGGATTTAGGGGATCGTATTGGCAGAAATGGAATATAATATAACACGTGGGCAGCACGGTGGTGCAGTGGTTAGCATTGTCGCCTCACAGCAAGAGGGTTCCTGGTTAGAACCCAGGGTGGAGGAGCCCTTCAGTGTGGAGTCTCTATGCTCTCCCCATGTCAGTGTGGGTTTTCTCTGGGTACTCCGGCTTCCTCCCACAGTCCAAAGACATGCTCATCAGGTTAATTGGTGACTCTAAATTGGCCGTAGGTGTGAATGTGAGTGTGAATGGTTGTTTGTCTCTATGTGTCAGCCCTGTGATAGTCTGGTGACCTGTCCAGGGTGTACCCTGCCTCTTACCCAATGTCAGCTCTGTGACACCCAACAGGATGCCATTAGGATAGGGCCATTCGTGTTTTTGTATTCGGCCATTTGGCCATCATAGTTAGCAGCCTCTCTGTGATGAGCTTAACAGCGTTAGAAAGACGTTTGTTTCTAATGTGAAACTGCTTCATTCATTGTTTTTACTGGTTTAAATCATAATTTCTGTTTGTTTTGGAGACAAAGAGACCACTGTGGATAATTTTAAGTTATCAGAGAAAAAAGGTGACCACACATTAGCAGGTACTTGGCTAGTAGCCCCTCTGTGATGAGCTGAACAGCATCATAGAAACATTGATTTTTTTTAAAGTCAAACCGTTTTATTCAGTGTTTTTACTGGTTTAAATCACCTGGTCCACTTATTTTGGCGAGGAAGAGATCCCTGCAGATAATTCAGCTTCCAGTTAAAAACTCCTGAGCAACTAACACTGAAGGAATCCTAACTGAGAGCTCATACTTGACACAAAGGAGAAGTTTCAGCTGGTTGCAATCTGCAATCCTCACGCTAAATGCCACTAAATCCTACACACTGCTCCTTTAAATTAGGGAGTTTAGGGAGACACATGGCTTTCAATGGACAGCAGCAATACGAAGCTTGTGACAAAGGTTCACAAGTTGTTTCACAAATGGGTTGAAAATCACTGATGTATAGGTCAAAATCATTTAATCTTTGGCAAATTATTGTGATGCATTTGGTGTCATTAACAGATATGTCCATTTTAATATAGTGAAAGGAAAAGTGGCTCTATGACTTTATAGATAACACAAAGTAGTGATGAATCTGTCATAAACAAGGTCGTAAACCACCAGCAGTGGGTCACTTCTGACCGATGGCCCTCTCAGACAGGATGACATGAATACACCATAAACAGTGCTCTCCCTCTGTCCCCTTGCTGTGAGGATTGCCTGCTGCCTCCCTTTGTCCATTTGTTGTTTTCATGTCTGACTGAGTAAAACAGTCATTACAATTCCCAGTTTCCCCCTGTCCCTGTTATGACTCCATCTTTGTTGACTTTAAATAATTAACCGTGTATCCCAGCCTTTAATGTTGCTTTTCATATCTCTCTCTGTAATATTGCAGATTGCTGCACAGCTTCTATTGGCAGACAAATTGCCACCCTGTGTCGTGTACCCCCATAACTAGACACAGGAGTGGCTGGTGAAATTACTCTACCTCCTCCTCACACTCCAAACTTTTCTGAAACCGTGCATCTCGTTACTGCCCCTCTTTAAACCGTCTGAATGCCATCATCCATCTCTACCTCCCACACCTCCACCTCCTCCTCACCCGTGTGCTTGCCTGAGTGTGCTCGTGAGTGACAGACAGACACAAACATGCACGCAGGCGTAAGCACACAATAACATTGTGCATTTGCATTTTCTCAATCCTCCAGCAAATAACTGTTTCAATAAAACCCAAGGACATAGTAGAGCCTTTTCTTTCACTTTCCCTTGGACGGCATTAATAATGACCTACAGCAGTGCATTAGGAAGTGTGATAAAGCACATTAATGTGCCGAATAAACCAAATACAACCCACGGGACAAGAATCCTCACATCATGTTCAAAAGAATCTACAGAGGAAATGAATGTGTTGTGACCTTTGCTTTCCTCAGCAACTGTAATGTGCAGTCAGAGTAGTCAATGCACTTAATACCATCCAGTCAACGGGCTGTGTATACTCTACCTCCATTACCCAGTCATTGTACTGGACAGCTACCAGAAAAGTATGTGTGCATCTGTGTGGTGTGATGTGATGTCAATTAAAGGAACAGTGTGTGAGATTTAGGGGATTTAGTGGCATCTAGTGGTGAGGATTGCAGATTGCAACCAGCTGAAACTTCACCTGGTTAGAATTCCTTCGGTGTTCATTGTTCAGGAGGTTTTTACTGGGAGCTGAATTATCCACAGGGGAATCTTCCTCTCCAAAACAAATGGACCAGGTGATTTAAACCATTAAAAAAAATTGAATCACGCAATTTTACATTACAAATCAGTGTTTCTCCGATGCTCATCAGCCCATCAAAGATAGGTTGCTAGTCAACTATTTTCTCTAAGATTTACTTAAGATCCAGATGTTCAGGAGGTTTTCATTGTAAGTAAATTATCAGCAGAGGTCATTTCCTCTTCGAAACAAACAGACTCTATGATTTAAACTGGTAAAAATTCTGAATAAAGCAATTTCATGCTATACAAAAAACAACATTTTTTGCTCATCACGAAGGGACTGCTAACCATGGTGGCCGATGTGAAAATGTGAATGACCCAGTGTTTGATTTAACAGTTCTGGGCCACTGAAACAGCCAAGAAAGCAGTTTTGCATTACAAATTAGTGTGTCTGCGATGCTATTCAGCATGTTAGAGATGGCCACTAGACCAACACCTGCTAATGTGTGCTCACTTTTTTTCCGATAACTTAATATCCAAATGTTCAGTAGGTTTTTACCCGGTGCCAGTTATTCTCAGAGGTCTCCTTCTCTTCAATTCAAGTGGACCCTGTGATTTAAACCGGTAAAAACGCTGAATAAAGCAATTTTACAATCTGTGGGGGTTTTTTTTACATCCAGGTCGCAGAGGGGTTGTTAACTATGGTGGCTCGTGCAAAAATGCAAAGTGTTTGGTTTGTCCATTCTGGGCTGCTGTAGAAACATGGCAGTGCAACATGGTGATCTCTCTGGACAAGGACCCACTGCCTACTGTATGTAGATATAAACAGCTCATTCTAAGGTAACAAAAACACAACAAGTCTTATTTTCAGGTGATTATACTCTAAAGTAAACATACTTATTGTATTATATTTCATGTGTGCCAATGTATCCCCCTTAATCCCACACACTGGAGCTTCAACCCTGTGTTAATAGGTGTAAAACAGCATTAATATGAGAGCACGATCTTTCGATTCAGTGATTCGTCACCACTATGAACAGCTACATGCTAATTGTATGAGTCACACGATAGAAGGTCAGAATAACTCAGCAAAATACAGATTTCTGTCATACAAGTACAGATCTCAAATCTACAGTAACATGCTCACGCACACAGTGAGCCACACTGCATCTGAGTTATCTCTGTTTCCTCTTCGTGAGCAACACCTGGCTGCAGAATGGCAGATGCTGAATTACAAAACACAGTCTCAGCAAGGTCACCCTGGGTGCCGCTGCCCACCCGCCTCCATCCTCATCACCCTGGTAACTGGATGATTTTAGGATGCTCCTCTGCAACAGACAGGGAGTGAAATGCTGGAATGTTAGCTTAAAAGCTGCAAATCTACTTTAGAATTAGAGTACTGCCATTTGGTGGCTGAATTGAATTACAGTTTTATTATAATGGCTTTAATAATGATTCTCCTCAATCAAGTGACTAACCAACCAATCACCACTGAACGAGACAGAGACTGGTCATGAAATGATGCTTCACTTAGTCACTCATTAGGCATAGAAGCTTTATTTGATTTGATTTGCCGTTTCCACTTAGAACAGAGTCACTTTTGAACAAAAGTGTTGGAGTTTTACAACAGCAAAGGACTCTTTTCACACCAGAACAGAAAGGCAATGACAACAGTTTGGACCAGGGAAGACACAAATGTCCTTACAACACAATTTGCAAGCCTCTTCAAGTCCGCTAGTTTGTGTGGCTCCATTCTTAATCTGTATGGGATTGTAGCAGTGCAACATGTATAAAATAAATGAATTTGGAGGTGTGTCTTAAAGGGTCAAAACATTTCCAGCTGAGATGCACCCATGCTCTTGAGAACAATATAACAAATAACCGAGAAGATGCACAAACCTAATGGACCCTGTTGGTAAATAACAACATGTAGAAGTGTCTGGTTCATGCACACAACTGAAAATACGAAAAGAAGAAGCAGTATGATATCTCAGATAAGTTATAAGTTAAGAAATTATTTTAAATTACTTTGCAATAGTTTAAATAATTTACAATTCATCGGCAGTATACTATTTGCAATTTCAGTATGTACAAACTTTCCACGATATAAAACATTTGAACATGAAACCACACTGAAGTGAAAGAAGTACTGTTTGAACTCTAAAACTTGAACTCAGTTCCACATTGAAGCATACGATACAAAAATGACTTCCTAGCTGATACTCAGTCACTCAATCACATGAGACTTTTTTTTTCCCCAATTTTTTTTTTTAGAAATGGCACAGTTACTCACAAGACACATACATTCACAAATCCAAAGAAGTTTCCCGTTTTGGTTTGTACATTACCAAACTAGACAACAATGTCCTTACAGAATACATTCTCAGCAGAAAATGCCACACTGATCAGAAGGTGTGTGGATGTTTGACTTGTATGCGATTGTTTTCATGCATAATGTGTAAAAACTTGCGATAAAAATATGTCCATTATCATCCTGGGTACTGTTTCAGAGTACTTCTCCATCTTAAAATGAAATACTGCAGGGTATAAAATGAGGAAAATGAAAGTGTGCTAAATGATACAGCAGAAATCCAGGGGGTCAGTAACATTCAGGAACATGAAACACCTAGTAAGGTAGACACCAAAGAGTCACAGCTAGATATTAAACTAAACACTTATTGTATTATTTTCCAAGTGTCAAAGCACTGCTGTTACATCGAGACCTCCTGACTCCGAATTATGATGTTGAGCCTTTTCTGACTTGAAATAAAATGGGCCTCTGAGTGAGTGTTAAGCAACTTGATCACCTGTTATTATGAAAGACACAACACCGTGATACATCTCATGATGACTCATATATACTGCACTACAGCAGTGAGTATAGGCGCACACACAGACAGAGGATACACTCGTACCCAGATGTACTGTATTTTTATACTTGGCTATCACGACTCAGCACCCACCACAAAATCCAATAAAATTGTCACGTTGGATTTCTAACCATTAGAAATGACTTGTAGCGTTGATTGCTTTTCTGGTTTTCTTACAGATTTTTTTTTTTTTTGTCAGCAGATGCTTGTCTGGAAATTTGAAACACACAGACATTGTTAAAGTTTTCTCGTTTAGATGCAAAGATAAATGGCGTGATTGGTGTTTTTCTCGGCTAGCCAGGCCGCACTCTCGCTGCCTATTTCTCGGTGGTTTTGAAGAGTGAATCGATGACATATCGATACACAAAGGAGATTATTACTGGGAGAAAGCCCCGTAAGAGATTACTGCTGAGGAAACATATGGGGGATGGTTCATTTGTATTGAGTAAACACATTGTAATAACACTTTTTAAACACATTCTGCTCGAGGCATGTTTCAGGAACACCCGCAGTGATCTGACCAGGGGTGCATATTGTCAGAAAAAAAAAATCTCTTGGACAGATTTGGACAAACAACGGCAAGCTACTTCACACCAGCCTACAATTTGAGTGGTTTAAGATACACAGACTTATTTTAATTAAAACAACCTTTGAAAAAACTGTCACTAGAATACCAAAAAATGATGTACGGATACGTTTAGCAGAAAGTTGATATGCTGTGAGGAATCGACCCCCCGTGAAGTGGTAAGCCTGAAAACAGTGCATTGATCAGTGGAAAAAGCTTTTTTTACAGCACAGGAAGTAAAGAAAACAAACACTTGAAAAACTATTTTGATCCCCAAAACAGGAAACAAAACAAAACCTCATTCTCTTCGTGCTCCAACTAAACACTCTGTTGTGTCTCCCAACTCTTACCTCAACACCTTTTCTCCCCCATTTGAGCTCTCAATTCACTATAGCCCTAAATAAAGTGAAAGGAGCAGTGCAGCTCCCCTCCTGAAATAAATGCCAAAGAGAAAAGAGTGAGAGCACAGACCAAGCCCCTAGCGGTGGCGGTGGTGGTGACTGTGCTCCCTGACGCCCCTTGCAGGCTCTCAGGTGGCGTCATCTTCATCGTCGTCCAGGTGATAGTTGAGGGTGATGACGGCGCTGATGAATTCTCCCAGCTCCACAAAGTCAGCTGTGATAATGTTGATGCCACTCTCCCCGGGTCTCTGCGATCTGATCCACTGCATCATGCCTGGTAAGGCCCTGGGAGGACGCACAAAAACACACACAGACACACGTTAGGGGGAAAGAGGGAGAGGGGGATATGAAGTCACAAAAGATCTAGAAAGGGATAGAAGAAGGGATGATTCATGGTCGCCTGGTTTAACACAGAGAGGGGCACGCTGTGATAAAAGATGTCTGTGACGCAGCATGGGATGTCTGCAAGCCAGCTGTGAGGATGACACTCTGACGCTCACTGGACGTGTTCATGTGAGCCATGCACCGGGGGGAGGGTGTTGCTCCTGCAGATGCCTCGCCCTGCTTTCTGCACGGCAAAAATCCTACAAGTCGTCTCCTTCACACGCCTCGTTTTCTTGTTCTATCGAGTCCTGCGCTGGCAAAACGAATGGGCGGAATTTTGAATGATGTCTGCATCAAAGTAACCAAACGCCTGGTGAGAATGGCTGATAGTGGGGTTATCAAATGAATAATTCATGGAAGGAAAATTGATGGTTTTGCTGCTGAGGCTTTTAACAAACTGGTGACATTAAGAAGGAGTGATATACAGACAAACCTGGGGGTAAATCAGCAATAAAAATTCCTGAACCAGAACTGAAAAGGGGAGATATAGAAAGAGGGAGGAGAGGGATGAGAAGCATCGCCTCAGGTTTATGGCAGCTGTTCAAAAAAAAAAAAAAAAAACCCTTGAATGAGGTCAGTGTCAAACGCCTGGGGAAACCTGTAGAAACCAACATGCTTCTGGATTTAGTTATAAAACACTGTGATGACTCACATATGACTGTTTATGTGTGTACATGCACATGAAGTTTTGTTTTGAGTTGTTGTGGGTAAATCATGTCATTTATGTGGCCTCTTGCCTCAGGTGTTGCTATAAGTTTGGCTCCACAGCACCTGTGTGCCCACTGAATAATACTGTGTGCTACCTGGGGTGCTCACCCCGCATGTTATCCAATCTCACTGTTTTACTGAACATAAAACATTTACAGTTGTTGTTTCTGTCTCTCTGTTAAATGAAACACACACATAAGCAGATGTACACACCTTTCTGTGATTGTCTCTCTCAGTCCGCTGGCCACGCCCTTCATCACAGTGCTGGCCTTTGGTGTCAGGACCACCTGGGAGACAAAGAAGGTCCCCTTCCTCCTGCAGGACACACACCAAACATTTACAGTTACATTTTTTCTGTTCTTTCTTTCTTTCTGTCTTTTTTACATAATATGTATCCCTGTAAAGCACTTCATGACATCTGCTGCAGAGAGGTGCTGCACATATGAATAAACTTTGATTTACATCAGAATCAATTACTTAAAGGATAACTGGTATTTTTCAAGGGCACCATGGTGATGCAGTGGTTAGCATTGTCGCCACACAGCAAGATTCTAACCCTGGGGTGGGGGAGCCCTTCTGCGTCTACATCAAGCTGGAACGACCATCGTTAAACAGAGGGGGTGGCTTACGACACTACTTATCCCCCACCTACAATGCAATCTTGGGATCCCTCCCCAGACGACTTCACACCCATTCACCCCTGGTCCCGCCTGACCCTAACGACTCACATGGTGGCCAGATGGGTCAACGACTCACATTGTGACCTTAATGACTCTGAAACTAAGAGCTCACGTGACCCCTACGACTCTGTAAGGGTTCCCACCTACACAGAGTTTATAGCCTGCAACTTTTATACCAGTCATTTAGAACTGAAGAAGCTTCTTGGATGAGAGGCGAAATGTCTTCAAGAAAAGCAAGCAAGTCCAGTTGCCTACAATGTAGCACTTACAGTTACCATGACCTGGACCATGACCTTCACTGAAAACCTTCTGTGTTCGTTAAGTTTGCATGTACTCCCTGACTCAGCGTGGGTTTTCTCCGGGTACTCCAGCTTCCTCCCACAGCCCAAAGACATGCAGGTTAATTGGTGACTCTAAATTGTCCGTAGGTGTGAATGTGAGTGTGAATGGTTGTCTGTCTCTATGTGTCAGCCCTGTGATAGTCTGGTGACCTGTCCAGGGTGTACCCCGCCTCTCACCCAATGTCAGCTGGGATAGGCTCCAGTCCCACCATGACCCTCAACAGGAAAGGCGGTTATGGAAAATGAATGAATGAATGATTATTTCCAACCTGCCCCCTAAGTGACCGCAGACCCTAAGCGCTGTAGCCAGCAGCACTTACTAAAAAAGCTTGTTTTATCCACTGACAGGCTCAAATTGTTATTAGAAGTGTCTGACAACATTATGGAAAGGATCCCGACAGAGATAGGTCATTTTGTTAAAAAGTAAAAACCTTTTTTGTTTAATCGTCGTAAAACACACTTCATTCAAAGTCGAGAAACAAAATAAAACTCACAAAAACCACCTTGATTCATCTTTCCACTGCTCCAACAATCACCAACTGTGGTTTGGTTAAAATAAACCCTTGATTTATCCAGTTAGATATGAAATATCCTGGCTCTATACATGCTGAAATTACTGTTTATTTAAATGTAGTCTGTTGGTTTGGTGATGGCGACATTGGGGCTGTTTCTAGTTAAACAAATAGGATCTTACTCCTTTACAACAAGATCTATCTCTGTAGGGATCCTTTCCATAAATTATCAGACACTTAGAGCAATAATCTGAGCCTGTCAGTGGCAAAAACTAGTATTTTTAGGGAGCGTACTTTGACAGTACAAACATGCTGACTGGTTATATTGCAGCCTGTTTAGCTGCTGCCGGCTGCAGTGGTCTTGCTCAATACTGGACCAGTTTTAAAATAAGTTGTCTCCCATTACTGCCAGCAGTTTTTTCAAAATATATGTATGGAGTATGACATGTATGACTTTTATAGGATAAAAATGTGGTTTTACAATATTTTTGTCTGAACTGTAGCAAAACAGACCCGGCCTTATAAACTTGAGTCTGTCCCTGCCTCACTGAGCGAGTGATAAAATAAGACCATTGATTGTTGAGTGTAGCGGCCTCCCCGCTGGTCGTTGTTTTTTCACAATGTATAGGTGCAAACAGCCCTCATTTACGTCCCCAGGGTGCTTTTACCACGGGGCTTGGGCAGTCCTCAAAGGAGGCTTTTACAGCCACAGTTAAGCACAATGACCATACGAGGTCCATCCATATTCTAGGTTTCAGCCTAGTCTTGTTTACAAGTTAGCCATTGGTGTGTCACTTATTCCAAATATTGCAGGAACTTGTGTATTTCATCCCAGTTCCTATCCTCTTAATTGGTTATTGTTAAGCCATTCATTCATTCATTTTCCAGGGGGCTGGAGCCTACGCCAGCTGACATGGGCAAGTGGCGGGGTACACCCTGGACAGGTCACCAGACTATCACAGGACTAATATATAGAGGCTAGGGATGGGCAGCACAAGCAAAAACACTATTCGAAAATCATGGCAACTATTCGACGATTTTTCGAATAATCGCCTGACAGACGGGGGTTGTCGCGCTGCTTCCGTTGCCGGTGGAGCCGCTGTGATTGATTAACAGGGGGGCGAGCTGCAACGGGACTCGCGGTGCAGACGTGTCACGCTGCTGACGTGCCCGGTGGAGCCTGGCCATACGGTCCCTCGCTGCCTCCTGCGTGCCTCGCTCTCAAATGACTGTGCATACTTGTTGTAGACTTGTGATATGCAAGCTTTGCCTCACAGAGTTTGCACTGCACCTCATTTTCATTTATTTTGTCGAAGTTGTTCCACAGGGAACTTTTTGATGACTGTAGTAGTCTCTGCATGTTTCTCCTGTTTGTAGAAGAGCATCAAACTAGCTGGTAGCCCATCTCACACCGCTGTAGCAATCCTATACTGCCCTCGTGCGGTTAGGAGCTGAATTGCATGTCAAATAAAGGGGGGAAATAAGACAGCGAATAGTAATAGTCACATTAAAAAATCGATTTTTCAAAATAAAACGACTATTCGAAAATTCGAAAATCATGACCCATCCCTAATAGAGGCAGAGAACAATTCACACTCACATTCACACCTTTGGGCAATTTAGAGTCACCAATTAGCCTGCATGTCTTTGGACTGTGGGAGGAAGCTGGAGTACCCGGAGAAGACCCACAGTCAGTACGTTTACATGCACAGCTTAATCGAGCTATGCTCAAAATTTGATTTTGGCATCTAATCGGACTTCTGTCCTTGTCCCAGTTTACATGCAACTGAGAAAATCGAAATACTGACGGGAACGTGTCCTCCTCCTCAACACTAGGTGGTGATATGCGTTGTTTCAGCTGTTTAATACGGTCCCCTTTTTGGTTGACCTATTACGTCACTTAATAATAAACAACTGGTGTCAGGCGGCAGACCGGCATTTTCGAACAACAGCAAGATGGATAATCATACAGCTTTGTTCATCTCGTACGTAATGTACGCGTTACTGATTGTGCAGATAAGAAGCACGCTATCCCTCGTGGTCATGGTGATTTCGAGAGGCAGAGAAGAACGCCGTATGCTGTTGGAGGGCTACAACAATAGCATGTCTTGTCTGTTCTGGGATCATACGCCAGCACAGGGGGTGTGGCGCATGCGCACATGCATTGTCTAGTTTAACTCCGATTACGGCGTATACACGCCGGAGAAAATCGAATTCCAATTGAATTATCTGGGTGTCTTAATCGGAGTTGGAGAACTCCGATATTAGTCGGAGTAACACGTTTAACATGCACTTCAGTTGTCCAGTTATAGTCGGATTAAGGAAACAATTCGGTTTTTTCAAGTGTCATGTAAACGTACTGACTGACACAGGGAGAACTTACAAGCTCAATACAGCAAATTAAATTGCTACGTCCTGAACTCTGAGCAAAGTATAAGCATCAAGAAAGTAAATCAAAATCATGCTAGAATGACCCGCCATGGTTGAACAAAGTACAGAGATTTTGTCCCCTTTAACCTGCTCACTGAGAAACAAAAGTAGACGCTGACCTTCGATCGGTGACAGACGCCTGGAGAAACTGCACAAGCTTCTCTGGATCAGTGGTGTTGGCCCAGGGAGAGGGCATCATCTGGCCTGGCCACAGGAAGGGCACCTCCAGGGCCATGGGGTGGTGATAGAAGACGAGCACCTGGTACTCCTTCTCCCACAGATACTGCAGAGTCACCTGGGGATGGAGACATAAAGGGGGGGACATGGTGAGAGGTGACAAAAGAAAATCAAAAGGTGATAGGTGATTAGTAAATACAAAAGAACCCCCTCTGTGCTGCTGAGTGACAGAAAACATTTTGTACCTGGCAGTTTATTTAGTAAGCTTTATGTTTATTTGAATGGAAGCAAATAGAAATAAGTGGATATAATTGCATGATGTGATGCATCACTCTGATTATTTAGCAGCTTTGTTCCACACTCAGTTCTGATTGACCATAGAAATTGTCAGGTACATTATTCCTGAAGACAACCGGTGTTTTACGTCTAATCATAGTGTGTTGCTTTTTGAGAAGAGAACTAAAGAGAGCTGGAACACAATTTGAATGTGTATTTTTGAAGCTATTGCAGGCTATTCAAGAGGCAAACATATTGAAAACATTTCACAGAGGACTGAACAGCAGTGCTTTTTCACTGCTATGGTTGAATTTCTGCAAAAGTGTATGGTATGGACACGTGCACCATATGTTTGTATTCTCTGCTGAAATATTTCTGGCACACGATTGTAGCTAAATCAAGTTAGCTAGTCCCAACAACAGAAAAATCAATACCCTGTGTCAGATGATTAAAGGAAGGAGCCGGGTAATAGGCTGGATGGCGTACAGGGAGGTGGTTATAAAAATAGGCCTTTTCATCGCAACCCCATATATACCACATGGCTTTTGTTTTTGATTTCCCACATGAGGTGATTTGTTTTGTGATAATGAGCTTCCAGTTGTGCATTATTCTTGAAAATAAGCTAAACAACTGCTGGAGAAGAGTGGTGCGGCTGATGAAGTGTTTATAAGAGAGCTGCTGTGAGGTAGATGGGGTGACAAGAGAAGAGCAGATGTACTCATAGACGAAGGAGTGGAGGAAAGGGGAGCGAGGAGTGAATACAGTACCTGCGGAGGAAAGAACACCAGTTATCTGTCTACTCTAAAGACTACCCGAGACGTCCCAGAAGACGTTCATTATTTTTCCAGGATCCACTAGTCGCTGTTGGCCTTTTCCTCTTCTCTACACTTCATCCTCATTCAGCAGCAGCACCTGACAGGAAGCTATGATCTCTGGTATTGATTGGTATTCCTTTATCCAGGTTCCCCACATACACCCTCACCTCAGGGTGGGGGGAGAGACCAAACAGTGGAAAGTGAAAAAGACAGAGAGAGGCAACAGGGATACAAATCTGAGCACAAGAGGAGTTCCCTACTTGACATCTATGCTAAAGGGCATTCTCTGTGTACAGTGATTAGTGATGTGATAACCATCGTTCTGCATCTTAAGAGATCAAAACACAGAGATCATCACTGGTGTGCAGGGCGGAGGAAACAATCATTTTCAAAAGCCTTACACACACACACACACACACACACACACACACACACACACACACGTAATGAGATGTGTTCTGTCTTTTAGTTGTAAAGGTGTATCTGTAATAAATGTTTGGTGCCTGCTTCTAGGTCACACAAAGAAGTATTTCACTGTTGGAAAGATGATCTTTGCATAAAACTGGGCTACTTTTGACATTGGTATTACATGACCAGGGAAAACAGAGAAAAAGGGCTGTAGCATTTACCTTTGTCAGAGGGGTAGAAAAACGACAATAAGGGCTGCACCCTAATAGTCGACCAAATGTTAGTCAACTAGAAAGGTCATTAGCTGGCAAGATTTCACTGGTTGCTCAGTCGCAGAAAAAAGAAAAAAAAGAAAAAAGGTGAAACTCTATTAGGAGCTGCACCTTATCAAAATAAATCAACACCTATATGACTGGACCATATGGGGATTTAATTTGAAAGGACAAGCACAGGAAGTGGCCACGCTCAGCAGTCAGACAGGAGTCATGTTACAAACCAATCACAGCCGTCAGATATCTTTCCCTTCTTCTGTAAATATTCAGTCTGATAAATACTGTAAAGTTGATCATGTTTGTGCAGGGCTACCCAGAGCTTTACATCTGTCCCACAGATGATAGGCCTACACACTTATAAACAGCGCCTGGAAGACGATCTGCTCTGCACTCAGGATTTCAGGTAAATAGGCTGTGATATGGTGCTTGTTAAGGTTGCTGAGCAACCTCAGACACAACCTGCTGCCGCGCTCTTGAAAGCTGGCACAGAAAAGGCACACGAGTAGCGCCCAGTGCCCGACCTCACGTTTCCCAGGCATGTGTACAGCCCCTAATTTCCAGGGCTGGTACCTGTGGTTATTCCACAGGCTAGTTAATAACATGGCGGGCAGGAAATCCAAAGTGTGGGATCATTTTGAGAAGGTGAAGGACGAACCCAAGGTGATATGTAAACTCATCTTCATTGGTCGACTACAAACATGACGTATCATCTGAAACATGGAAGTAGCTACATGCCCATTAGCTACTTAGCACAATCATTACTGCTTTGCCGACAGCGTCATTAACAGGCGGCTCGCTCAGTGTGTGACGTGCACTTGTAGATAAAATATAGGCCTATATTAATGAAGGTTCATTAGTACGGTTTTGTATTTCTCTGTAATGTAGCACAGTGTTAACATGTTACTGATACTATTCTTTCTCACTCTATTGAATAATTAAGTTAATATCATAAACATGCGGGTGACTAGTCGACTAATGGCCCTAAATAATGATTATTGATTCTTAGTCGGGGGCAGCCCTAATGACATTTAGCCATTTTGTTAGCATGCAGGCTGCAGTAACACAAGCCATGAAGACTGGGAAAAAAGAATACTTTGCAAGACAGTTAAGATGTTACTTACAGTTTTCAGGTGTCAAGTGTCAAGGTAGTTGGAGATTTGTGATAAGCCTCCTTTGGCAAATCTGGCACTCGAGTTTTTGGAGTGACTTTTTCAACATCTTGCCAGTGTACCATCAGCTTGTTACATGTAGTCACACTGTTGTAGTCACAAAACTAGACCCATCCCTAAGGTTAAATGCCCTTGTTTGGGAGTAACTAATAACTAATGATGACACATAATGAGTTATGCTGGATTACTATGTCTTAATTTCTGGGCTATTTGGGATTTTTGGGGTGATGGTACAGAAAAGTGAAGCATTGGAATACGGATTTGGACATTGCTTACCATGGCAACGACATGAGCTCTGAAGCATTCGAGCCAGCCCTTCAGAATCTTAGTTAGATCTGATCAGTACTGCCTAGTTTTACTGTTTGATCAGAGTTTGAGAGCGAGATCTGATTCTGTACGTCTTGTATCCTGATGCTGAAACACAATCTGTAGTTCGATCAACAGTTTTAAAGCCAGCAAAAATTCACAGATTTGAGCTTGGAGATGAGTGGGGAGATCTGGGAGCTGGCAAGATGGATGGCAGTTTAGCATAGGTAATTTACCCATACTAACCACACTGTTTGATACAAAACTGGTTGAATTATTTTGAACTCCCACTCACTCCTTTTTCTACCAATTTAGCTCTGGTTCTTGAACCAGTTTTGTTGAAATGCTCTGAATGGGTCAAAATTAGGTGAATGAACCAGAAAGGAACCTGTTCCATGTTGGTGGAAAAGGGGTATCTGTGAGGTAGAGCTTAGATTCCTGCCACTATCCTGGGGCTCGGACGGGTCGGGCTCCTCATAACAGACCTAGGCTATGGAACCAACTACTTATTACACCTGGAGGGGGCCTCGACATGTAAGAGGCACATGACGAAGGCTTGCCATGGAAAGAAAGACAAGAGTCAGCCTTCAATGTCCACGTTCGTATCCTTAAAAAAAATGTTGGGTTTAAACCTGGCTCGGGCTCATAATTACAGTTAAAGGGAAGGGCCAGGTCGGGCTCAGAGAGAACATGCACAGGCTCGGGTGGGGTCGGGCTGGATTTTTTGGGCCCGATCTAAGCTCTACTGTGAGGTGTTATGTGTATTTGAATTTGACAGTACCTCCTGAGCAAAGACGACTGGGCAGAGTTTGTCCCCAAACACCTCTTTCAACATGGCCACCAGTTTTTCATGGTGCAGGTTCTGCACGCCGTAGAAGTGGTTGAAGTCCAGGAACACAACCTCTCTGGCATGAGCTGACAGGAAAGTGCTGATCTGCTCTAGACCTTCTCTGACCTAAGGAAGACAAATATGAACAAGACATATATTAATAGTTTGTTTAATGACATAATGATATGAAATACAGACACACAAATGATTGTGATGTACTTAAAATCTTTGAAGGGCCTAACATGATTTAGCTTTCTGTCTGTACTTTGACTCAAATATGCTGCCACATACACAGATATGTGCAAACATCACTTAGCAACCACAAGCATTGCAAAATATTTTCCATCAAAAATCAGCAAAATTCTGCACAGACCGTGGCACTGAAGAGCCCGTGGGCGAAGAACAGCTCGTTGTCGGGGTCGCGGGGCTTGGTAGAGATGCGCAGGTCAAAGAAACGGATCCCAGCCTCCAGTTGGCTGGTGAAGTTCATAGTCTGTGTAGCTAACCACTTCCTCATTAGCTTCTTGGCCACCGTGCCGAAAACAGACACGAAGTTCTGCACCGTCTCCGGCTGCTCGGGGCCCACCGGAGACGCCTCGTCGATGTAGAAACTGAACGAATCATGGGAACCTGGAGAAGACACAGAACATGAGTCTGCATGCAGGTATCGACCGCTGCAGGTTTTATATCTGCAGTGGGACACAGCTGCGAGAGTGGGGTCAGTGCTGGAAAACAGCTCAGCGCCATGGCAACAACACTCACTGTGAGTTCATAACTCACGACCGCGAGTGTTGTTATTCAGGCTACTTGAAAAGTTGTGGTCATGTATAATATCTTTCATCCATCACTTCTGAGACAGAACAAAGCTCTCAGAGAAAAACAATTCTCTACTTAGTATTGGATTTTCTTTTCTCTATAACTTTCGGTATCTATTTTTTATAGTGAATCCTCAAATGCAGTGGTCTGTTGGTGGTTTCCACCTATTTCGTACATCTGCAGCCTGGAACTTTTGGTATGGTCCACACAACAGTATGTTGGCTCAATACTCTTAAATAAGTTATCTCAGTTTGAGCTTAAAGTTAACCCTTGACCTTGGAAGACGCAGTTTGACAAGAACATAAAGTACACCTAAAATGTTGTTACCAACCACATCTCGAGGTCTTCCTCAGCAGATGGAATAACTCAGCTTTCATATTGATTTTAAGTTGGGTCTGTACCAAATGCCTTTTTTACATTAAAAGTTTCTACCGAGGACATGTTTTAAATTAAACTTGAAGGTCTGTCTTGTCGTTACCATCACCCATCACCCTCAATCATTTAAAAAATCCCTAAAAAAAATCCTCAATTTGAATAAAGTGATTTTATTTAATCAAATTTGTTAATGAAGCATTGGATTGAAGCAGAATATTTGGTAAGTTAAAACATGTAGTAAATATTGTAACTGATTATTTAGACCATAAAAATAATGGATGTAGCTACCGTGATGTAAATGCCCTTCGCCACGCTTTATTATAGTCATATAATTGGCTTTTATTGTGTTAGTTAAATTGTAAAGGCATGCTTTTATTTTGAAGAAGAAAAGCCAGGAAGTTAGATTGTAAAGGCGGGTGCTCTTATTTTGAAAGGGTTTGTTGTCGGTAGTAACAAAGAAACCTCACAAATGTTGTGTACAGCGTAAATACATCTTCACAACCAGAGTTAATGTTTAGCATCTGTTTGTCTACATTTAATTTCATATTGTGTTTAATACTATGTTGCTTTATAATTATAATTTAATCATTTTCTCAGAGTTTAAATGGGCATGTGTGTGCTAGAAAAAGGCTACCTTGTTGTGAGCTCAGTGTGCCTAAAGTTTGTTATGCTGAGGAAGAATGGCAATATTTTTAATTTTATTTGTTTGGAGATACATTATTGAAAAAAAGCTTTGTGAACCAACAGTCAGAGAGACCATTAATCAGCTGGGGACGCTACATTTGACATCATCCATTGGTTTATGTATTGGTTTATTGTTTTGAAGCCTAAAGTTCAGCATTAAGGCTGTTACCATGTTGGTTTTTTGGAGTCAGAAGTTTTGGGGTTTTAGGCAAGAGAAATGTAAGCCCTAATAAAATGTAAACGGGTGGGGCGTTGGTGGCTTAGTGGTAGAGCAGGTGCCCCATGTACAAGGCAGCGGCCCGGGTTCGACTCCAGCCTGTGGCCCTTTGCTGCATGTCACTCCCTCTCTCTCTCCCCCTTTCACACTTGTCTGTCCTATCCATTAAAGGCTAAAAATGCCCAAAAATATCTTTAAAAAAACCCTACAGTTGTCATGAATGTTGAATTTAGCTATGGAGACCAAAACCATTTTCTGTACCAGGCGGTAAACATGTTTATTTGGGTATTTTAACATGGGTGTCTGTGGGGAGTGATTGACTTCTGGAGCCAGCCTCAAGTGGCTGTTTAAAAAACTGCAGTTTTTGGCACTTTGGTATTGGCTTTATTTTTCAGTCCTAAGGAGGTTGCTGCTTGTTCTGAGATGTTGATTTAGAATTTGATGTCAACATTGTGAATGAAGTTTTGTACTATTTGGTACTGCCCTATTTGGGAGTCTTTAATTTTTGGTTACACGTGATGGCTGTCTGACCCTCTACCTCTGTAAGAGGACCTCTAAAATCTGGTCTAATCTAATTCTCAATGACTCAGTTTGAAATTTCAAACCCATGCAGAAAAGCTATTTTCTACCTTTCAGAGTTATTTCACACTTGCAAATATGTATTGTATTCTCCTATTGAAAATAAGATCCTTCATTCTGTTTCATCTTATTCCTGAAACGCAATTGTAATAAATTGGACCATACTCATGTTTCATGGATCTTAACAAAACATGAGCGCCTCTGTGATTTGATTCTTAGTGCTGATTTTCTAATGAAAATTTAAAGTTTATTCCAGGACACCATTATTTCTAAGCAGAAATAAGATCCTGTCATCATCAATAAAATCAGAAAGTGTCTGAGGCATTTTCAGTTCATCAGATAATATCTTTCAGAGACAAAGAAAGAGAAAGAAAAACTTCTGGCTTTGACTCATCATGTTCACAGCTATTTCACCCACTTCTCAATATATGAAGGACTCATGCAGCTCTGCTTTACAAGCAGAATTGGAAAGACCTCTACCAGACAAGGTCGCTGAACTACTGCTTGCACTGAGATGTATGCGCTGTGAACCAGCTGACCTACCATCAAATCTCTAGCTCTAACTGTGGCGCTTTTTATCATCTCACAAAAAATATCAAAAGAGTAATAAATCCATTTCTTCTGCAGAAAGCTGAAAGCTGTTCTACGTATGCTACTGAGAACCTGAAAAGACTGATGCTGTTACACTTTTTAAATGTCATTTTTCAGTGCCTTGAGCTTCACAAACACGTTTTCATTTGACGCCATTGTTTTGGAGTGGCAGCAGAGATATCAGGGAAATGGTATCTGAAAACCTCAGATGAACTACAAACAAGCCGAGTAGATTAAAAACACCATTTGTGAGTAAGTGTTAGGCTTTATTATCATTTGGTTAAATTAAGGCTTTAAGCAAAAGCAAAAAGTCATGGGTATTTTAACTGTTATTCTAGGAGCTGTATCCACAGAAAAATACTAAATCCCATCCCGTTAGTGGCAGTAAAAATAACTTTGGGCAGATTGTGAGACTGTGTCGATATATTGATGTTTTCCCAGGTGTCACTTAAGCATTCCTTGCCATCAATCCACTGAGAAATCTGCTAGTGAGGTCTGAAGGTCGTGTGTCCTTCCATGCCTGATTGAGAGTGAGAAATGAGTAATGTGTGTGTGTGTGCGCATGTACATGTTATGGAAATTAGGCTGACAGTAATTTGGGGACCTTCGTGCTCTCATCACTGCAATCAACTCTCATTCTCTTTGTCTCTTCATTATGCTCCCTCACTCAAACAAACACGCACCCTCCCCTCCCTGTTCACCAACGCACACACGTGTAGCTGAAGTGACCTTCAGCTACACTGCAGCGCCAGGTCTTTGCAATGGGCCCAGAGAATGACCATAAGCAGGGCAGACAGCTGAATCCTGGGGCAGGGCGGCAAACAGCATCTCCACAGGCTGAATCCTACCACCAGGGTCACAGTGTAACACAGTATGACCTTAACTAGTCGCAACAGCTGGCTCTGCTGTTGTTGCAGAGAAAGATTTCACTTTGACTCTGAAGGCTGTGCAACATCATCCACTGATATACCATTTTACCTTATTACCTGGTTAGAAATGTCACAAAATGGTGAAAAATAATCAGTCATGATATCTTAAAGTCCCTCTCCAGGCATATTTTAATTTTGTTAATCATTCCAACATAATAGTTAGAAATAAGAGGCTCGATGGAAAACTACTCTTTCTCCCTCTGAGAAATATGCTTTTGGTCGGTTTCGCTTTTGCTTTCTCCAGCGCTGCTCATGCTAGGTTGGCCGGTGAAAGACAAGCGTACATGAAGATGGCTATTGTTAGCATTAGAGGAAACTTTAGGTTGCTTTCACACCTGCCCTGTTTGGTTCAGTTCAATCGAACTCAAGTTCGTTTGCCCCCTAAGTGCAGTTTGTTTGGGCAGGGGTGAACACAGCTGTCACATTCAGGTGTGCACCAAGACCTTCTTGAAGAGGTAGTCTCCGTCCAGTTACAAACGAACTCTAGTGTTGTTTGTGGTTTGCAGTGAGAACGTGTTCTGACCTTGAGCCAAACTAACTGCCTTAATATGCACATTCAGCACATCCAATGCATCAAAACATTGTTTACTAGTTGGAGCCGTGCCTCGTTTTCAAACTGTATGGTTTGACTAAAATGAACAGTGACAGCAATATAGCCTACAATGACCAGCGCTAAAATCAACCTGCGTAGTTGTCCCTCCATTGTGACATTAGAAAGTGTGAAAACACCCTTAGAGAGATTCTGCCATACATGTTTGAGCCTCAGTCGGACTCAGATGCCAATGTATCAGAATGATAAGTTTGTAGTTAGCATCTTTTATTTATGTCGTATGTTAGCTTGTTAGCTTGTAGGCTAACTGGCAGCAGCTGACACAGTGTTCGTGTTTGTTAAACATAAAATATTATCTGCTACAAAGGGGTTTTTTGGTAGATAGAAGAAGAAGGCTCCAGGGTCAAGTTTACATCCAAAAACTGCATAGTCTACCATGTTTGCTGTCAAAACTTTCACTATCCTGAGTCCACTCTATGCTGGAGGTTTCAGGTTCCTTTGACGATGTTGTGTCAAAGTCTTTTTATTCCGTCAAAATGTGTTTCCCATAGTTACTAGACAGGGATTGGCTTTCACGTTAGTGACATACCAAATCAGTAGAGGAATGTGAAAACATCTCTCTCGTGACAAACTTTGCACAGATACAAGGTAAGATAGTCAAGGTCATTCATTTTAGGGGACATTAATATTAAAAAACAAAACAAAAAGAAAACACATTTTAGAGTGGAGAGAGACTTTATAGCCCAAGGCAATGTCTTCCATTCACTTTTTTAATCCAACCAATAATCCAAAATCCACAGATATGCAATTTCATATCCCATAAAAACAATGAAAGGCATTCTTCACACTTGAGAAGCTGAAACTAGAAACACTATAACAATTATGTGCT